CACAACACATCTTGTGATTTATTGGCATTTAATAGTCGGCGCTCTCGGCTCAGTGCAGGATGTAGTACATATTACATGGTCCCCTACGTAATGCACGGAAGCTGCTTAAATGACCCACAAATATTGCATGAGCCTATTGCCCGGTGGCCAGTGCTAAAAGTATTCAGTGCAAGGACCATCACTCTACTCCGGCAGCTATACAGAAGACAAAGCTCATTATTTATTCATGGCATTCAGCACTGAAGTGTTTATGTGGCCAGTAGACCAACCTTACTTCGCATCTTGGCCACAAATTGGCTAACAGCAAGGCAGAGGCATCTCCCATGGAAAAAAGGGACAAGTGGCTCTGAAAAAAATATGCAAATTTAACTTTTTACCCAGCATAAAAATAAACTTTTTGATTCAACCTCTAGTTTTTAGGTCTGAGCCCCGGCGCACCCGAACGAAATTGTCAATATTGTAAACAGATTCTTTTCGACCGAAGCTGATTAGATTGGCTCGGGGAGTGCGTCTGGCATTGGCTGTGTGAATGCTGTTCAATGTCCTGCCAAAATCCTCCCCTCTCCTGCCCCCGTATAATTGCTACTCTTGTTGCCAAATACAAATCCATACGTGCGGGGCAACTTTTTGCAGTGCCATTTGTTCGATTCGTTCGAATGGTAACATTTTAAAGCTTATTTGTTCTGCCCACGTACATACACCACTGTGTTCTGTGTTCCCTTGGAGACCTCTCTTTTGGTGCCAGGCCAGGGGCCTTTGTGTAAATCGTTATTGAACACTCAAATCCTAATTGCACCCATGGTGATCACTAGTAAGTGCGACTGTTTGTCCATGTTTTGCGAACGGAAAATGGTCAACGATGTAACTCATTTGGGGAATGGATGGATGCTTTATATGTGAAATGACAGTGCCGATTTGTTTAGTCCTCACAAAAGGATTGCCCTCAATGATGAGTGTCGTTTGAAGTATGATTATTTGCCAGCTTCCTGAATGTTTACATTATGATTGGGTGACTTTTAAATTGTATCTAAACTAGTTTGTTTTGTTTCTGTTTAATAAGTAGATTGGTTGAGTGACCTAAGCTGAATATATATATGGAAATGGAAGAGTTCCTTGACATTCACTTTAGTAAATTTTGCTTTACTTAGCAATCATGTTTAATATCACAATCAAAAAGCACTCAAATGACCAATTATTTAGCTTACTTTTATTGTACTAGAATTCTCGATGCTTGCAAATACTGAAAGTCAGTAATCTGATGGCTTTGCAATATCAGAAAAACTGTATACCAAAAGACTTTTTATATTATATATGCTATTTTTATTAATTTAATAAGTTAAATATCTTAATTTTTAAGGCATACTCTCCATACACCGAAGGCCTTACTAATTTCATTGTCACTTTTTCACTTTGTTTCCTGCTTAAATTAAATCCGTATTGATAAATAGGGTCGGTTTTCCGCATAACCTTTGCTAAGCAACGCAAACAATATTTACCAAGTCAAAAATATTTCCAAATAAATCGAGTTCCAACCTAGAAAAATAAAAAAATACAAGAAAGCAGACTAACACCAAGAAGCCGAAGTTGATATATCCTTGCAGTTTGGAATTAAATAAATAAAATAACTAAAATATTTGTATTTTTAGAATCGACATTTATCAATGAGTTTAATATAATTGTTTCGGCACATCAAATTTTAAAAAACTCGTACATAAGCCAAAATAGCATTCGTTTCAATTCGGAAAGCGTTACTACATATGTTAGTTTTTAATAGGTTAACAAATCTGCATACTCAATTTAAAATTTAAGAAACTGAAAATGTTTACCAATTTTTGACAATTTTAACGATGTAAGCCCTTATAAATTTTGAAAATTTGGCAAGCAAATTTATTTTGACCGGATTCGGCTCTTGATGCTGATCAAGAATATATATAACTTATAGGATCGGAAATGACTCCATCACTGTGTAACAAGCTTTTGACTACAATTAAAATTCTCTTCAAGGGTACACCTATGCGTATACGTAATTTTTTGAGGCTCTCCTACAAACGTCTGAAAAATTTTTTAATAAAATCTTTAGAATAGGTATTTTTGATGTCTTTTCAAATGCATTCTAGAGGCAAACTACTGATTTCCTTTTTACACACTAGTTCATTCTAAGGACTCTTAACCGATATTTTGTATTACCTTTATTATTTTCTTTGGGAACCTCAAAGTTTAAAAATAATATAACTCAGACAAAACAGCATTAATTTCAATTCGGAAAGCTTCCATATGCTAGTTTTAAATAGGTTAACAAATCTGCATACTCAATTAATAGTTTTATAAAATTCAAGTGTTTGGCAATTTTAATGATTTAAACTCTTAGAAAATTTGGGAAATTTTATTTTTTTCATCTTACATAGCTAGAACAACTCGGCTCTTCGTGCTGATCAAAAATATATATGAATTATAGGGTCGGAAATGACTTCTTTACAGTGTTACAAGCTTCTGAATAAAATTCAACTACCCTAAAAGAAGTACAAATATATGCAAGATATCCTTCGCCGGCAGCTAAACACAAGTTTTTCCCTTTCGCCAGATGCCTTCTATATACACACAGATAAAGTAAACAATAGTTACATTGATTAGGGTCTAATTTTTGTTTAAAGCCAAGCTCGGAAAAGGCTGTCATACAATTTGCATTTCTATGGACTATGGATTCCAAGGGACTTTCATAAATAGACGTCCGTGTATGAGGAGCAATAGAAATTTGTTCAGCAGCTGTTGTCGTCGTCGTGTATTGCCATGCATACATTAGATCCGCTGTTTTTGTACCCAGACTGAGTTTTAAATTGGGAAAAAGAAGGAGAATCCTTTTCTACCCACACACTTTAATGTACAAGACCCTTGTAAAGCACAGTTGATGGAATAACATTAAACAATATGGGCGAAAACATGTCATATGTTTATTTATTTTTAGGAGCAGAGTTTCGGTGAATTGGAAAAGTTTCGCAGGAGTTCTAGGCTCGTTTCAGTGTGTGTTTTCAACAGGAAAAGTAAAAGCAAGTACATCGAAATCAAAACACATTTAAATTCGACAAGAAGGACATTCATGTCCTACTCTGCCGTCTTGCCTGAACGTATAAGACAATTCAATCAGCAATGAAAAACTCAAGCGCAATATGCTTCCTACTGGCCAATATCCCTTCCAATAAGCCGCAAAAACACACCGTCATCGATCAGATATCCTACTCTCTCTCACTTTCTCTCTAAAAAGAAAATAAGACACAGAAATAAAGAGTCTCACGGAAATGGCAACAAAGGAAAGGAAAATATAACCGGCCAAGCGAAAAAATGCCCCGCAATAATAAATGATAATTGATAATAACATTTTCCTACCTTCCTTCCGACGCAAAGCAAAACGGAGTGGAAAACGGAGCGAAAAAAAACGTATAAAATACCCGTAAGTGTATGTGGGGGAAATCAATAAAGACGATGGCGACAACATTTGGCCACAATTCCAATTTTGCGCCAGCCACCAAGCCGAAAGAAAGAATGAACGAAAAAAAATACGCAGGAACCATACAACCGAGGAACATTTCAACAATTTCCGTCACCGTCCGCCGCAAAGTGAAAATTTTCATTTCAACGATGCCGCATGAAATGTGCCATTTCTTAGACACCTCCAGCATTTCTATGCGACTGCACACCGCGGCGACAAAGTTAGACGAAATGTCATCATTTCCGTTGGGAAACTGTGCGCGCTCAACCGTAAATGCCCGGGAAAAGTGGGTATGCTGGGAAAAACCGTCGCTTAGTTTTTTCTCTCCAGCAAATGATGGTGCTGCCTGGTTGAAAAAGGTTAACTAAGAAAGCCATGCAAATGCCTTTTTTATTTTCACCACAAAGTTTTGGGGCAGCAAAAAAGAATAATAATATTATATAGAGCGAATTTCTGGGAATCAAAGAAAAACTCTTCGCTGGTCCCAGCCAATCCCTCTTACGTTTCTTAAACGAAGCGTAAAATTGTTAAATGAGTGCGAATGTCTACAGCGAAAAAGGGCTCTGCGTTCGCTTCCTTCAATGGAACCCTACTCTCGTCCTTTTGACCATTTCGCCAAGTCGGCCCTCGTACTAAATTATTGATTAACCATGTTGTTGGCTTGGCTTATTTCAACTTCTGTATGCGTAGCTCAAATTGAATTGAATTTTTCGCCGCATTACTGAACGGAATGTCAATTGATTGGTTTAGGGTCTGAGCGGGTCTGGAAAGTTTTGAATCAGTTGGGGAACCTTCTTTGATATATATATATAATATCATCACATGTACAATGGTCACATGAAAGTAAACTTTCCTAAATCATTACTACAATAAATTGAACCTCATTATTTTCTGGTTAATTAACGCTCCTTCGAACCATTCAATCAAGTTCTCTGAATATGAAAATGTAATTTCCCCATAACCTAGTTAAAATTGCTTTGTCGGCTTGTTTGACATTTCAATGAATGGAAAATTTAGCACAACATCTTGATGTAGTTTTTACAAAACACATAAAGACGTTCTGCATGGATGAAAGCAAAACACAAATGATATATACACAGGTTAAGACAAAGGACTGCCACTGATATTGATGGCTTCGATGAAAACCATTGAGTCAGCCGGTCTGTCAGCCATTCATTCAACAATAAACGTCACAACAAGTTATCCTGGGCAACTGGAGGGGAGATGCCTTACTGCACCTGGAGTTTCCCCTTCCTGTTGCCAAGTTGCACCTGCTAGAGTACAAAGTTGCCTTGTGTTTAGCAACTTTGTGCGCTAAACAAAGGGGAAAGGGAAAATGTACAAAAAGAGAGCTTAATTAAATCTGTTTGTGTACCTTTAAAGTGCATTGCCGAAATCAAAATAGACTAGTTTAGCGGCTGTAATTCGGATGCTCTCAATGTGATCTTAAAGGTGTTTTACAGATTTAAACAGTTAATAAAATGTCTTATTTATTATAGTATACTCTTAAGCATAATTTTAACCTTAGATTTCTTCTTTGTAAAAGGACATACAAGACAGGCAAGACCTTGGAATTGCTTTTCTACTGGAATATGGGTTCCTTCTTGTTAAGTTTTATAGTTGTTCATGTTTAGTTAGTTGCGTAAAAAATCTAGACTAATTAAATTTCGTCGAACTTATGGTTATACCTATTATACAAATTTTTACAATTTAATAAAATATATAACAACATCTGTGTAGAAACTTAAAGAAGTATTTTCAAAGTTAAATGTTATGGCTGCTATGAGGGATTTTAAAGGCTCCCTAGATATATATATGTAGAATATATATTACCTAATATCCGATTAATTACTCATTTATTTTTCGCTCCTTTAAAAGTCTTTGTCCCAGCCGCTTAGCTCCTCTGGCGGCTCATAGTCATTCTCCACACCCGATGGCCCAAAGTATTGCAGATCGCTCCAACTCTTCAGAGGTCTCTTAATGGGAGAAGGTAATTGCTTGGCCTTCAGCTGCTGCCAATCCAAACTCTCGAACCAACTATGCCGCTTAATGTCTGCGATTCCCTTGCGTTGGTAACCCAATCGCTCCGCCGGCAGCTGTTTGCAGAGATGCTTGACCAGGTGCTGGGCGGATTTGGGAATCCTTGAGGGCATGTGTATGACATCAATGCCACTGAGGATTTGCTGATAGATCTTAATTTGATTAACCCCTCGGAAGGGGGTTTTACCAACCAGGAGCTCGTATATCAGAATACCCAGGGCCCAATAATCTACGGCACGATCGTGGCCACGATCCAGGATAATCTCTGGCGCCACATACTCCGGAGTGCCGGCAAAGGTGTTGGTCTTTTCATTCTGCCGCACAAACTTGGCGAAACCAAAGTCAACCTGGGTTATAAATGATAAAATTAAATAAGTAATTAATAATATAATAATATATAATATAATATATGGGAATTTCTTTTCCCTACCAATTTGCAATAACCATCCGTGCCCAGCATCAGGTTCTCCGGCTTCAAGTCCCTGTAGATGAACTGATGCGAGTGCAGGTAATCGAATGCTTCAACTACACATCCGGCTATAAATTTGGCGGTCTTCTCATCGAAATATTGGCGCTTTGACATCACCGTCCACACATCACCACCCATGCAGGCCTCCATTAGAAAGTAAACGTATTTGTCATTGCGGTACGTGCGATATAACCTGAAATGAAAGTATATTTAAGTGCGGCAAGTCAGCGCATGGGTTGAGTTATGACCTACTCTACTATGAAGGGCGAGTGGCGGCACTTATTCATTACGTTCTTCTCATTGTAAACGTGCTCTATTTGATCTTGCTTGACCACCTCGATTTTCTTGATTATCTTAAGGGCCAATGCCTTTTGGTTGTAGGACACCAAGTCAACGCGTCCAAAGGCACCGCAACCCAGAGTGGCGATCTTTTTTAGCTCCGAAATGGCCACATGGGAGTATTCGTTATCAAATTCCAGGGATTTGTTGCTGGGTCTTCCACTGGTGTCACTTCGCTGACTGCTGGGCTTCTCCTGCAGCTGCTTAATGGTTCCTAAATAGCTAATGAAGGCTCTGAAAAGGACATTATAGCAATTATTAAGGGTACTGAAAGTTCCTTGCTGTAGAACTCACTCTCTGTCCAGGACGAGGACCTCAGTGCCTGGAGCATCAGCATAAACACTGGCCTGCCTCACGTCCGCATTGAGCAGTGCCTGCTCCCCAAAGTAGTCACCTCGCTTCCGCTTGGCCACAATCTGCTCCTGCTTCTGGTCATCCTGCTTCTTTATGGTCACAGTTCCGCAGCGAATGATGTAGAACTCATTGCCCAACTCGCCTTCGCGCACAATGCAGGTATCGGTCTCGTAGAATTTCTAAGGGGGAAAAAAACGGGGATAAACTTCAGCTGATTTAGAGCTTCGACATGGCCACTGATATATTACCCTCTGCAGGAGATCTACGACCTTGTGCAGCAGACTCTGGTCGAGTTCCTGCAAGAATGGAGCTGACCGCAGGAACTGCAGGTTCTCCTCGCGCTCCTTCGAACCAGAGATTTGCATGATGGCCCTAAAGGTTTCGCGGGCAATTTTCCAGACGCGTGCATCCGTTGAGGCTATAAAGTTCCGAATGAACTATTTCTTTCCTGTTATAGATTGTGTGAAATTCGGGACTCACCCTTGATGGTGGCCTGACGGGGGGCATTGTAAAGGATGGCCAGTTCACCGAATACCGTGGCGGGACCAAAGCTACCCACCAGCTGACCCGCACGGATAACATCGTACTGACCCTCCGCGGACACATATATCTCGGATCCATCCTCGTGCTCCTGGATAATGATACTGTGTTTCTTGTAGCTGGCCGGGGCCATTGCATTGATAACCATCTCCTTGCGCTCCTTGTCCATTAGATTATTGAGGAAATCATTGCGCTCAATGGCCGTTCGTATGAGATTGCGTGTGCTGCGAAGCGGATTCATGGGGGTAATAATCGCGTCTCATTCGTTTGTCTTTGCTCTCTAATTCTGCTTCACTTACACTTCGTCCTTGGCAATAAATTCGATTTCAATGTCGCCTCGAATGGGGAAATTTGGTCGGACATGGATGAGGCCACCTTCCACGCGCTGTGCCTTTGGGGACAAGGAATCGTTGGATTTTCCACTCTTGCTCTCGTCTCCTCCGACGTCCTCCTTGGGCCTAGTTCTTTGATCCTGGTAGTTTTCGTGTGAAATTGCCAGATAAAAAATATACAAAAAAGGGAAAATGGGAAATAGATGTGTACTTATTATTTGGTTGATAAGAGCTGAGATTGCACGCCGTTTCAATGATATCAAGTGAATTAAGACTAGGCTTAGACTTTTCCCTAAAGTTTCCTTCTTTAAAAATCTCAATTGGAAATCCTTTAACATTAACCTCCATGGGCAATTCCAGTGCCATTACATGCATTTGCCGAGGGCAACTAGCCACAAATAGTACCTGAAAATAAACGCTTTCAGGCAACAGTTCGGGCATATGGTCGTGGAAACTCCGCCGTAAGAAGACCATTTCGCTGAATCAGCAACAGATTCCGTGCCGGAAGCCAGCCGGCTAAGGGCTGATTAGCCACAGACTTTGCCAATGCAGCAGATATGTATATATGTATATATCCCAGACCAAGTCCAAACCGAGGCTGGAAGGAACGGTATTATTTGCTTGGGAGAAAGTTTTAGTTCGTGTCTGTTTGGCGAACAATTAACATTCAACTTGTTTTTACAAGTGTGCCGAGCGCACGATACAATTGTTAGCAGCTGTTGCCAGTTTCATTTTCTCTGCGGAGAAGGCCCCCTCAGGCAATATAAGGTTAAGAGGGTGGAGGAACATTAGATACGTACGTTGACTCTCACATAAAAGTTGCCTTAAACACACACAGAGTGTAGGAGATTGTGGTTACTCGACACATGGCTTTTGATTGCCCCGGATCTTCCCTAAATTCTACTCCGAGAGCTTTAAACTGTTTCGTCTTTAGTTTGAAATATTTTTTGCCTAATTTAAAACCTATTTATGTGGCAAACAAGAGATATATTTTATAACAAAGCTGCTTGAAAGTCTGTTGCCTATTGGAAAACTAATAAGCAAAGATTTACTATGCGTGTCGCAGAGGAAACTTTTAGTTTTAAGTTCTTGATTTATTTAGAAAAAAATCACTAAGGGGCTATAAAGTATTTGGTTTATATATAAAGACCAAATTCATATCATATTTAGACAGAGAAACACTTTAAAGAACATGATTTACTATAGTTTAAACTTAATTACAAACCCCATCAACACTGATTTATATTTAAGCGAGAAAATAAATACGAAACTAACAACTTTTGCTAAATAAATCTCAAAATAATAATACATAAATATTATTTGATAACAGAAACGTATTGTTGTCTAACATATTATTGTTCTTTCAAAGTTCCACAATAGAGTTTTAATCAGAAAAGTTTTAATTGTGTCGGTTTTAGAGTTTCAAGAGAACATAAAATTTGTTTGGTAATATGCTCATTTTTATACAAATATATAAATAAAACAATTCATATTTCTTCTACAGATTTTAAATTTAAATTCTATAAACACTTTTATCTGGTATCGAAGGCATTCACTAAGCTGCACCACCTTTTCCCATTTACTAACTGGTAATAGATAGCCTGGCTCTTCTTTTATTCCCAACTGACTGATGTTCGAGGAAATGGTGCGAAAGCCGCAAGGTTCTGGCCAGTTGACGGTCCTGTCATTTGGCAGAGGACACACACACACACCCCCCTCATTACTTACTTGATTATTCGCCGCCTGCTCGTCCTGTGCAGGACGCTCTGTACTCCGCTTCTTGCGCAAGTGAAGCGGAGTTCCGGGCACAAGGAGCTCCGGAGGCATTGGCGGTGCCGGCGGTATGTTAATATCTGGCATCGTGGACACACGTCGACGACGGTGACTGTCTGCCGCCTGGCTCTTGGCCTGGGGATAATTGAGTGACACATTGCTAGAGCTCTGGGTACGAAGGGGCGGAGCCTGGAGGTTCCTCTTGCTGTTGCTGTTACTGTTACTGTTACTGTCCTGTTCCCGTCGCTCCTGTGGCAGGAAACCATTTGTCAGCTTGCTCTCCCCTCTACTGCAGTTGTTGTTGTTGTTGGTATCACCACTCTGGCAGGACAAGGTGTCATCTGTTTGGTGGGCGCTTAGTTCCTGCGTGTGACCAATGAAAAACTTTACGGGCGCCTCGGTCTCGGTATCGGTGCCATGAGTTGTGCACCACCATCATCGGTGCCGCCCTCATCAATTATGCCATTCACATTCACTTTGAGTTTTGACTTGCCGCCATCTACGACATCATCATCATCATCGGCATCATCGGCATCGGCATGTGCATTAGAAGCCACATCGTCGTCCTGGACCTCCTCCACATCAATGCTGGGCACCTCGGTGGGCAGGGCCGTGGGTCGCCGCTCTTTGACTGGTTTTAATTTTGAATTTGAGCGTTTGACATTAATTGCATTGGCCACCCTCTCCTCCTCCTGCTGCTGCTGCAGCCTGGCCCTGTTCGAGTGGAACTTCTTCTCCAGGCCATTGTTTGCACTGCCATTCTCGGCCACAGGCTGCAGCTGCGAGGAAGATGCCAGCAAGGATGCGGAGGCTGTGCCCACGGAGACGGAGGCGGGCTGCTGCTGTCTCAGCCGTTGAAGTTGGGCCTGGAGGCCGGAACAGCACCCCAAACATTTACCAAGACAAACAAAGCGGTGCAAAAGTTTCGGCATTGGGTGTTGGGTGTTCAGTGTGTTGAGTGTTTTGAGTGTGTTGAGTGTGTTGAGTGTTCGGTGTTCGGTGGACATTGGAGGCGTTGTCGACAGTGTGTATATATATTTACAAGTGTTTTGTGCCGATATTATTGTGTACAGCGCGAATCGTTTGAAAGTATAAGAAACATACAAGCATGTGTGCAAATATTAGTTGAGTGCCGCCAAGCAAGTGGAGCAAGTTGCTCCGCGGTACCTTACCTCGCTGGCACTGGGTGTTATTATGGGCGAGTACAGTGGCTTCTCCTCGCGGCGAATGTACAGGCCAATTTGCTAGAATGGAGGAAAATAGCATAAGTTTCAGTCTGTAAAGGGTATTACAATTATCTAATTTAGCATACATTTTAATTCAACAATATCCTGGATATAATATATATATTTAACAAACATATTTCAACAAAAACTCAAATTAATTTAAAATGCACAGCAGTAAATTCTACAAAACTGAATAAATGCTTGAAAATCAAGCTATTATTCACTTGTTAGTTTGGCATTTAATCTTTGATTTCTGATTTGATTTTCCTCTCTTTCCATTTCATTTCCCATAAAAATAATTTGATGCTTAACACCTCTTACTGAGGATTATTTTGACCAATCTCTGGATCTGTGGCCATTGTCAATGTAACCCTCCATTAAGCCGGCAACCGAACAAGGAATTTGCATTGCCATTTTGTCCCTTAAATACTGGGCTTTATTCTTCCTATTTTATGTTCCAATACTCTTGGCTCTCAAGTTGCCCTTTTCGTCCCTTTTTTTGTGTTGTTGTTTGTTGGCCTTTTCAACACGTCAAGTGAGGATTTCCTGGGCACTATTCCTAGATTGATTGGCTTAAACTGGCGATGATAGTCAGGTTTTGAGCAAATCTCACCAATTTCCATAAATATAAATAGGTATTCCAGTGTGTGTAAGAAACTTATTATTCAATCTTGATTTTATGATTTGCATTTTAGTCAAAAGTGAAGTGTTAAGACACGAAATTTGACGTGTGAAATTTAAGTATTTTCGTGCTTTGAAATTAAAAAAAAAAAAAATAGAGTCTTAAGGTCATATAAATATTTATAAGCGATGCTTGGAATATTTAAAGTTTTCTTTGTTATATAATATAATATAGTTAAGATTGCAAATTTTACTTCACAATTTGAAGTACCTTTTCAAGAAGTTTCAAAGCGATAATTATATCTTCATTATTCTTAAAATATTCTTGGGCAATTGTAGTTCCACATCTACTTTAAAGCCTGGGAAAACACACAGCTTGTTTAGGGAATATTGTGGTAGGTTCGCAAAGTTTTTTTTTTTCAATTTTTTGTTTTCAATTTATGTTTTTAATTTACCACCCCGTTTAAAAGTTTCACCATACATACATACAATTTGAGCTCACCCATGGGGAAAGCTCTCACATCTTATCTTTCAATTGGCGTGGGGCCTAATGAAATATTCAGACCCTGTTTGGGGGCCTAGTGCAGGCATAAATAAACACGTGTCAATTTGCGAGTCGCCTGGCTGGGCTCTGCTTTGATATGCTAATCGACCTAAACGACGGCAGTTTTGACAGGTTTTCCGTTTTCCCACGGAAGCGCCGAATTCTGTTTTTGGCGATAAAGTCACCGATAAGGTTGAAGCCCGCCCAGGCTGCACTTGAAGGAGGCATTTCTTTTTGTGGGAAAAGAGATGGAAATGAAAGGGCTTCTAAAGAGCGTCTTTAATGCACAGAAATAAAATTGGATTTTTAAAAATAATTTAATTATAATTTATTCACTTTGATTTATTGTTAACTTTATATAGAGAAGAGAATCAAAATAGTTTTGGGATATATCTTTAAACATTTAACAGAGACTTATGTATATAGTTTCTCTATGTGAGTATACCATATTTTCTGCTCTGTTTTTTTCTATAGAATATTACTATATTTTCCTTGCAGTGTACTCTCGTTCTGTTAGTCTGAGCCATTTAAAGCATTCCTCGCCGAAGGGCGTTTGCTTTTCTAACGGCTTTGGCCCCGAACGTCCCGCAGTTATTTAGAATTACTGTGACGTGTAAGCTGGTGCGTGCAATCACGTTCATTGTCATTCCCGCGCCTAGAACCATGTCAGATGTACGTACACACATATACAGATGATTCTGCAGATAGCCGGAGACATCCGACGGATCCTGCATATTTATACGTCATTTGGAGCACTCCGGCTGCAAGCTGCTGGCACTCACAGAGCACAGAGATTTCCCTTCTGGATTTATGCATGAGTTTGGGGTGTATGACTCTCAGCTACTTCTGTTTTTATCCCACACCTATTTATATGCATGCTTATCATATTTTTGCATATCTAATACCAGCGACGACTCGTCGCAGAATGTTTGTTATTGATGAAATGCCAAGATTGCAGAAAGTCAAGTGTCGTGCAGAACTTGAATTTTGTTCCGATAAGTTTCCATGTAGCCATGTGACCAATTTGCAAAAAGAATAATAATGCAAATATATGTTATGTGTGTTCATGCAATTCTTCTATATGCCTTTCATCAATCAAAAAATATGTTCCAAGAGGGGGAAATACAAACAAACAACAAGGTTTGTTTTGTATCGAACACAATATCAATACATTTGGTTTTTTCCCCATTTGACATATTATTTTCCCAGTAATAAATGAAAAAAAAAAAATAAAATAATATATATATATATATACATATGTATTTGTGGGAATCAATGGGCATTAAAGATTCTGCACTCGAGTTTTTGCCCCGGTTTTTTGTGCCTGTGAGATAAGCCTGTTAAAAAGTGAACGTCATGGGCAGAAAAAATTAATGATAAGAAGAAACAAGGTTTTGCTCCAACGGCAGTTTAGCGTGATTCAATACCCTATATATGCAAGGTTATTTCAGTTTGTAAATATACAATAGAAAAATGTCAGATATTTATGGATTAGTGAGTCAGTCAGAAACAAAACCGATGGCAACTGTATACTTCTTTTTAATTTTAAAAGTAACTCGGCTGTGGTTTAGAGTAATCATTGGATTTAACTATAAGTTAACTTAATAAAATAAAAATATGTTAACTAAACAATTTATTGCATTCTATAGATCTTTATGTTATGTTTATATATTATACTGAACTTAAAAAGGATATAGATTATAAGAAGGTGGTCTACTAATTCGAGGCCCATAAAAACCCCCTGTAACCCCTGCTAATTGATTACTAACCTTCCTGTATTGTGCTTCCCCTTGATGTACTTCAATGATTGCTTCAATTAAATATTGACAAACATTTATCATAGAGTACCTGCTAAGTCGTAACTCTACCCATTTATTTGCACTTTATTTTCTGTTTCGCTACACATTATTTATGGTTTTTTCTCGCCGCCCCGATTAACTTAATTAAGCACTTGATGAACTTATCAGGGGACTTATCAGACAAGTGCAATACCAGAGCGTGATCTGTGGCATGCGGAACTCACCACGGGGCTATCTTGTGTGTTGAGTATCGTATCGGTGTTTTCATCTTGGGCGGGGGTAAATTTGTTTTTGCTGCGATGATGGAAAAGTCGGGGAAAGCAGGCCATATTGTAGCCGCAGGATATATATATTTATCTATATCCTTGAGTTTACTTTTTTTGTTGGATATATGTGTGTTTTTAAGGCAGTTGCTATGTTGGGGTAAAACACACTCTCGCTCTCTTTTATCTCAAATCGTTGACTGCGGCTGCCGATGCGTGTGGGTTCAACACTTTGATTGCCCCGGCCATATTCCGTGATTTATGGTCGAGGATTTAATTGCGGCTATAAATTTGTTGTGTTCGGTTGCAATTGTCGCGGATTATGTATGCTTCGACTATTATTTCGATTTACTTCGGTACATTGAATACTCATTTGCTTTAAATTGATTAGCTTAGCCGGCTGGGTATTAGTAGGAGAAGGGGGAAGTACTTTTTTATATGATTCTTTTAAGATCTAATCAGAATAATCAGGCTTGTTATAGTTGTTTTTTCTTGAAAGTAATTCGATTCAAAATTGTTAATAATACTTTCATAATACATAACAGCATAAACTATTTTGGTAAAAATTCAATTGAAACTGTACAGAAATCTGCCAGCTAATTGCTTTCTAACTAGTAAATTTGGCTTTAGACTTGTTTAAATCTAGTTAAGAAAATAAAATGGTATTAAGCTGACTAATTAGAGATTCAAAAATATTTCAAATAAAACTTGAAGCTTTAGAAGACTTTTCGTGAGGCTTAAAACCCTCCTTCCAGGGAAAAACTAAAAACATCGATAAGCTAGCAAGCCGGAGATTGTGCCTGCCATCATCCTTCACTTTGGGGCATCACAAAAAAACAAAAGGATCTGAAAGTGGCGCTCTAAATTCTGGGATGACCACATCCGTTTATCAACTGTCCCAGAAAGTGAAGGCAAAGCATTTGCTTTGCATCTGATAAATTTTGTTTGTTGGCGAACAAAAGTTTCAAAGTTCAAAAACGATGAGCATCATCAGCCGGCCAGAGAAATGGGCTGCTTTAATTACCGCCTCAGAGCAAAAGTGGCAGCAACTCCGCCGGATGAGTCAGAATGCTTGCTGGCTTTTATCATTGGGCCTCTTATCGTCTCAAATGCCTAATTGTTTTCTATTTATGCGGGGGGATTTTCATTGTTTGGCCAAAAGCTCTAAAACAAATGCCTTGAACGGCAACAATGCTGGGGGATTGCCGAATGCCCGTGGCTTGGAATATTAACAAATTTACTGGTCTCAAAAATTTCACACATATATATAACTTCTATATACTAGTATATATGGTATATCAACAGCGTATTGTATTGTATTTCCTTATACGATTGCCCGATAACGGGCCGAGCAATCGGAAAATAAAGAACTCCGGGTCCCCGCTGGATTTCACAGTCATATTTGTGTTTTGCTTTCCCAGTTCATGATTCGCTTTTTAAACAAAATAACCGGAGAAAGACCCTAGAGAATTGCGAGAGGCGCCTGTCACGAGTCACTCACTCATTTATATTAATTTATTGACATTTTCGTTTGGAGTTATCAGCGCACTTTTCCACTTTTTACTTGTTGTTCCTCGCTGGCTTTTAATGCTGTTATTTCATTGCATTTCATAATGAAGTTATTGCCTGATTTCTTTCTTCTTCATTGGTTTTGATTTCGTTTATTGATCTAACATAAACTTGACGACTGTTTTTGTCCAAGGGAACTTTACGGTGTTCTATCCGATAAGAGTTTCTTGTTTTTTTTTTTTATTTTTATGGCAGCGCAAAGGTAAAGTTCACGTAATTTTAAAAAACTATTGGGAAATTTATGTCATCATTATGTTGACCAAGGGAAAGAAAGGAAAATATGCACTGACGCATACGTTATTTTTCACTTCAACACTCAAATGTTTCCTCGAAGTTGTTTGAGAATATGTCAGCCATATCTTTTGATTAGATATCAATATCAGCGAACTTCAAGATGATTGATATATATATTTTTTGTTGACTTTCAATTTGTCAAAATGAATGGAAATAAATTTTTGGAATGGAAATAATATGGATATTTCCTATATTTTCTGCGATTGAAACACTTGAAATTCACTTTTCCGCCGACCACTTGAGCCGTTCACGCCGAACTGGCATGTCACTAAAGCACTGGACACTTGGACACTTGTGCACTTGGGGGTGGAATTTTTTTGGGAATACATAACACACATATATCGTGCCATTAACACTTCCCAAATGAACCGCAACGTTTTGGTCATTTTACAAGATCGCACGTAACGACTTCCGCCGCCATTTCGGGTCTGAATCACTTTGGAATCACTTTGACTGCGGTGCCCCAAGGCTGCCACCCCGGGGTGCCTGAAGGGGGGTGGGATTCGAGTACTTCACTGAGAGCCACACCGATCCGTATATACCTTCCGCACACCTGCCGCCGTGGAGGCTGATAACTCGACTAATTTAACGCGGCCAATTTAAATTGGCAATTTGCTCGACGCGGTAACGCTGGCTCCGACGCCAGCAGCGCCGTTAACTGCGACTGCGACGGCAACGCCGACAGCCGCCTAGCTATATGTTTATCGGTATCAGTTTGGAGTCGAGTGCCTGCCTAGCGGCTTATCTATGGAGAAGTGTTTGGGTATGCCGGGCGTCACTGTTAACGCGGCACTGTGGTCTCTTGGCCCCAAAAGTTACATGGGAGTAGAACTAAGGGGGGAGGCTTGATTTGTAACACGCTATTATACTATGATTTATCAATAAATATTGCCAGATAAAGTTATATTTGAATATCGCATTCAAAACAAGGCCTACATTTGGCTTAACTTGACCCACACTTTCTCCTATATAAGGAATTGATTTTAAGTTTAGCGCACAGAAAAGTCTAGTTACTGAATCTAATAACAATACAAAGGGTCTTTTAATTTATAGTTCTCATTATTATATACATATATATGATTAACTTGGTCAGTACTTTGCCCGCCCTAAGGTAATTAATTTAATTAACTAAACGTAGCTGGTTACATTATTTTTGATACATTTTTAAATTAACTAAAGAGAAAAATATTACGTATACGTACCATTGACCCACAACTTTACTTACTTTTTGTTAATGCAAGTTTAATATAAATAGTTATGTTACATTTTTATTGTTATTTAAATTCTATTATTCTTCTTTTTATTCTCTAAGCCCTGAAGAACTGGAAAATCAAGTTAAGGGAAGCACAACCTTTACAGAATTGTTAGCCTTTTTACTTTATATATATATATACATATACTTTGTTTGTCATAGCGAGTACGTTGCGCCATTTGGGTAACCAACTTTATTAACTGAAGGCATATGGTTGCATTATTTCTTATAATTCAAACCTAATCAGGGATTCTTAACTTAACCAAAGATGCAAATATTACGTATACGTACCATTGTCCCACTACTTTACTTATTTTTTTATTTATTTTTTTTTAATATAAATAATAAAATGACATTTTTCCAACTCAAATATAAAACACTAACCTTCTTCCCGACGCAAAATAAAAATTTAAATCAAATTTAAAGTTAACTAAGGATACACATATTACGTATACGCACCATTGTCCCACAACTTTACGTACTTTTTATTTATTAAATTTAATATAAATAGTTAGATTAGATTTTTATTCCTCTTTAATATAACCTTCATCCTGATGCAGAATAAAAATTTAAATCAAATGGGTTGACAAATCACCAGAGCTGCGGCATTGCAAATTAGAATTCTCCAGCGTTCCACGATAGGCGCAAAGTTCGCGACTTTAGGCGTCGCAGTTTTTTATTCATTATGCCTTAAATGCGTAACTAAAGCAATTTCCAAGTAAAACTCATTTTCACCCTCGAGTTCTCGCCCCCAAACACAAGCAAACCCCGCGGTGTTCTACGTGCTCATATGCTGCTCCCGGGTTGCGCCTAAAAGTATGCACGTATCTTCTGACGTTGTCGTTTGATTAAACTTGTTAACACACACACACACAGCGGAAAGAAAAGCCCGAGCGGATGCCAAAGTTTGTCAGGCCATCACTTTAAAGTCAGCAAAGAAGTCGACGGTGCGGACTCATTTGGGTCCCGAAGAAGCATAAATTCCGACATACCATGGGTATATGTATATGTGCTGAAACACGACAGGAAGTTCTATTGCATAATCTTATTAACCACATACACAAACAGATAGAGACTAGAGTACACACTATGAATACGAAATAATTTATGCATTCAGATCCTCGGTAGCGGCATTTGCCCGGAATTGTTGACAACTTGTCTACGGTTTGTGGCAATCCGCATTTTGATTTGCTTTGCCCAAGTTTTTACTTATCCGATTAGCCCGTCCTAATTACTATACAGCCTGTGTGTTTGCATAGCTGTAGCAGCGCGGTCACATCTATTTGAATTAGATTAGTTTTGATTGCATTCCTATTTGGCTTTGCTCGGTCTGAGAGTGGCAAACATATTTATTAACTCGTCTCGGTTTCGATGAGCCAACTGAATTAAAGTCAAAAGAACACAGCACAGTTGATGTCAATCTAATAGCATATACATAGATAGATAAAATTGATTTGAATGTATTTTTTGTGCAGTTTATAGATACTAGTTTTCAAAATATTAACCGGATAAAAGAATTTTTGTAATAAAGTAGAATATAACAATAAAATATCTGAAATTACTTTATCTTAAACATATAGAGCAACATATTGGGCACTTGGTTTCAATTATGTTATGCTGCATTTTCCGTGATCCTTAGATTAACCTTAGGACGCTTTCTATATTTTTAGCAGTAGACATCACAGTGATGAACTAAGAGAAACACGAAAAAAATACTGATAGAATAGATTTCCCTGTGCCCTCTTTTTTTGACCAACTACACACTTATGGCTAGAAAAAAGTGAACGTTGGAAATATGGGAAAACAATTTGGTAGCCTAAAAGAAAAGCGCGGCAGCAACGGCAACTGCGAGAGCTGTGTGTTTGTGTTTTATGGCCCACGGAGCCATGATTGATGCGCTCCTCGAGCTGCTCGCCGCTTTAGTGGATTTTCAAATTGCTTTTTTCCCGCTGACAGTCGACGGCTCGCCAACGTGGAAAGCCGGCGGCAGTTATTCAAATGCAAACGACAGCTGTCAAAATGGTTTTAACTAAAAATTCGACTTTATCTTTACCCTTTTTCACCCTCTCTCTCCACTTACTCCTCCACTTGCAGGCTCCAGCGCAAAAAATGGGCCAACTGTCAATGAGTGACTGCCGGGCCGCGGCAGTAGTCCACATCCTCGTCGGATCTCCTGGCGCATGATAGGCAAGCTGCTGGTTGCAGAAATACTAACATACATATACGTCAGGAGTTGGAGGAGTCAAAGCCAGGTCAATGACCGTCGTCTTTGGGCTCCTGCCGCTGATCCTGCTGCTGCTGCTGCTGCTCCTGCCGCCGGTGCCGGTGCTGACCCACCAGACGACAGATGCCGCCGCCGGTAACCATCAGCAGCATGTGGCGGATCAGAAGTTCCAGCTGCCAGCCGTTCCGCTGCCCCACCGCCGCCCTTCTCCGCAGCCGGGCATAACTTTGCGTTGAATGCCTTTGCCGGGGCAGAGTCCTCCATGGGCGGCCACTCTCCAGGACCATCCTCCTCCTCATCCGGTGGAGTGGCAGTTCCGGATGCGGTGGCATGTTGCGGGCGCGCCATGGCGTCATCCAGACACCCAACTTCCCACATCGCTTCGGCACGCCCATCGAATGCGTTTGGATAATCGACGCCTCCGATCTGCCCTCCACCGGCCAGAATGTCTCCATTGTGGTGTACCTGACGCAGCTTTATGTGCTGAGCGGTCTGAAGTTCACGGAGTACATGTACTATTCGGATGACTTCAAGGTACCCGCCCATCGGGTCTTTACGCTCACCGAAGACGATGTGACCCAGGCCACATGGGTGCAGTTCCACAGCCAGTACCTGGAGATACGGTTCACAATGGCCACATTGGATGGAACTCATCTGCGGGCACTGGATCGTCTGTTGGATGTCTATGGATTCAACATTACCTACGAAGTGCAGAATGAGGTGAAGACATCGCAGTGTAATGCCCTGCAGTGCCGTTTCCTGGGAGATTGCTTTGCAAGTGCTGATTACAGGTGAGTTTCTGAAGATGATTGCCTTGAAATGTATTATTTTTTTAAATCACTGTGGAAAACATAAAGCCGATTTTATCTCAAAGTCTTATAATTTATTGAAAATTACACTACTTGTAAAGATAATTGCCAAATCACTTAATTAAAGAAAGTCACAGACTCGAACTAAACCCTTTTGAACTCCAACTATATATATCATTTACAAATCGCTTGACATTCGAACAACTTTGTTCAACATTTTGAAAATGCAATTAATAACTGGCAAGCGAATGAACTTCCCAGGACTGGGATGTATTTCGCAAACATTTGTTGCCCCTTTTTTTTGTGTGAAAGCCCTGAGTTCAACTACTCAAGCGATCCGGCAGTCTGCAAAAACTGAGTTCCCGTGGGCCATGAGCACCTGCGTCCGGACTCAGGACTCTGCAGCATGTAGAATATTTAAGCGCCGGCAAAAACTTTTACGACTCCCATCGACCCTTTTGGAAAATATGGCAAGAGAAAGTGAAAATGGTTGAGAACGGACCCGAGATTTCAATGGTTTTGCAGAGCACAGAGTTCGTTTTAGACAAAATCCGAGCACATGGAAAATCACCGGCAGGTAAACCTAACCGATGAAACTGTTAACTGCTTGCACATCAATCTTTTCGCCCCCTTTTTGGGTAAAGTTGCTCCGCTGGCAGGGCTTTGCATTTTGGGCCCTGGCCGGAATCAGAGAAGTCGAGTACGCGGGGTTCAAGGCTCTCGACCTAAACCAAGTGGGAGCCATACATTTGTAATGTTTCAATAAGTGGAGCGCCCGAAAACAAGCATTCCGCCCTTGCCCTGGTCTCGCTTCCCTGGCCAGACAATGGACGGATACGGATACGGATGGCAACCCGTGTCAGTGAAAAGAAAAGTACAAAACGTATGCATATACACACACATACACACACGCGCTAAAAGTTGAAAGTCAAAAGGAAAGCGGAGAGCTTGATGCATTTTCCCTGGCAGCCGGCAAAAATCCAGGTAGTGAGTGGGTTTTATGAATAAGCTCCGCAATTGAGTTTGACAAGCTCGACGGCGAGGACTTGTGGTACAATGCCGTGACATGTCGTGGACGTGGGTTTCGTATATACCATTTTTTTGCGGGTTTGATTAATTGAGGAGTGCCTGCCCGATGCAGAGTGAAAGCATGAGTTGGAAAAAGCCCCGAGGAAAAGCCTTGCCTAGCCTTGGCTTGTCCCACTTGCGTAGCGAATAAAATTACATTTTCAATTGTTATCCAATTATAAAATTGAATGCCAGCAAATAGACCATTTCAGGGCAATTAACGCGTAAACAGGACACGGGACAGTGACGCCCCCTCTCCTGGCCAGAAGGTTAAACAAATCAAATTAATTGCGCAAAAACTTTTGGCAGCTCGAAATTGCAACTTCGACGCCTACTTAACATAATTATTATTAATTGGCCGGCCCAGGGCCCAAGGACGAGCATTTGGCCGCGCTAATTGAATATTAATATCAATGTCGAAACGAGAGTGAAGTGTGCTTGTTGCCGGTTGGCAGCTGCCTGAGGGCTTGGGAGAAATTAATATAAAAGTGACAGCTGAACTAGAGAAGTTGCATTGCCCCAGAAAGAAAGGGAGAGTCCTGACGGTATAAATATATATATAATTTCGCGCCTGCCACGTAGCGGCCCGTAACTTAATTACCAACTGGAGGCAAATGAGCAAAGGCCTGTTCCATTCCGTTCCCTACGTGCCTCAGATAAGAAAGTATGTGCCACGAACCGACCTACTACCCAATATCTCTCAGTGCACGATGGAGCGAGTGAAATGTGCGGGGTTGTCAAGTGACTTGTGTCACAGCCAAGGCATCACAGCTGCTGTATACTACTACTCGTACTCGTGCTCTTATAAACAACGAAACAGTCATGCTCATGTTGTCAAATGCCATCCAAAAACTCAAAAGGAGAGGGGGAATCCCCCTGCAGGACCCCAGTGCCTGGCAGCTCAATCTCACACTGCATCCTCGTTTATGGCACTCGTTTTCAGCATCTCCTTTGTTAAGTTAATGTGCGAAAAATGCATAGCATCGGAGAATGCTAAATAGATGATAAAAGCGTGGGGCGGAGCGACTTTCCTGCCATTTTATGTGGCACCCAGTGCGTATGCTTAGTCCTCCCCCGTTTATTAATTTTTTGCCGCCACTGTTGTACTTGTGTTGGGAGCGTCATCCCATTATGGCTACAGTGACAGTATGTGTACACAGTTGGGGTTGGATAAATAGTGCTGGAAATAAAAGATTTAGAGTTAATTATAATATTCAATTTTGAATAACAAGATAAAATTTTATTTAATGAGTTCACTGTGTAGAACGATGAATTGGTATAAGGTATAATCAGAATAATACAAAAATATACTTATCAGATATTTATTATATGAATTCTAACCAGCGTTGCAAGAACTCATTTAGTTCAAGAAAACTTCTAATAACTTCTTGATACTTCAAGCTTAGTTTATGACTTTAAGAGATGCCTAAAACTAAGTAATGGTCTGAAAACTCCTTTGAAACTTTAACAACTATACTTTTGGCCTCCACTGTTTATGTGTTAGCATTTTAATAAGCTTCTTCGCATGCGTAAAGTAAAAGTGTCAAGTGTTGCCAAGCTTATAGCTGATGAAAGACTGTTACGAACAAAAAACAGGCTAAAATTTAATCTTTCTCTCCTGTCACTTCTGTGGCACATTGTTTTGGTTTAATTTATTTTATTTACTGATTGCCATTTATTTTTGGAAATCGTCACCCCAGTACCGCCCCAAGCTCATTAATGTCGACGACCACTAACCCTATTTAATTGCCAATAAACTTGTGTAAAATATTCAAAATGCTGTTGAGCTGCGAACTGGTCGAATTGCAGCCAGAAACTTTGGGAAAGCGCTTCCAAGTTTTTGCCGCAAATGCCAGAGAGCAGAAACAATAAGCCATAAACAATTGGCCAGAAGCCAGCAAGGACCTGCTGTCCTTGCCAGCCACTACTGTGCTCGCTTTCGTTTCGTTTTCGAACCCCTTCCTTTTTGCCTCCTTTTTGCATCCTGCATTTATTTCGCCTGACTGAATGCATTTCTGGTAGCATTTTTATGCATTTATTTTGCTGCTCGAGCGTCCATCAATTTGCTGCCGGCCAGTGAAAATCTGTTGCACTTCACCGCAAAGCTCAACAGAGCAGTAACCAATTTATATATTTTAAATACTTTTTCCATTTTTAAGCCATTTCTGGGCCCTTACTTTTGCTTTTCTTTCCCCTTTCGCAGGCCGCTTTCGGCGCCTCTCTCTATATTTTCATTAACAAACGCTTAATTGAAAAACTTTTTAGCTTTGAGGGCCGGTCGTCAAAGGGGTCTGTTCTGGCCTGGCCTCTCCTTTATCGAACCGATTCAGTAATTTAATCTATGAGTATTTTTCCCTTCAAGTTTGCAACAGAGAAGCCGAGTGCCAAAATGTATTCACAGTTGATGAGAGAACCGAAACGAACCAAAAAAAAAGTGGTCTCCGTTGGCATTACGCATATATATTAGAAACTGGCTCGACTAACTCGGTCTGCCGCCAGACTTTCGCTCTAAAAACACAACAATGTATATTTGAGGACCCCAAAAATGTAAAAGAGGCTGTAAAACCCAATCCCCAGCCAACTGATTGGGCAACCTTTTTTTCGCCAAGCTATTCGGTAAACAAGAAGCAGAAGGAGCGCGCACCAGCGGCAATGACATCGACTCGGAATTAGGCCACATCCAAGAGAAGTTTGACAAAATTGGGACTGTATTCGGTCTTACAAACCCTTCTATGAATTAAGGATAAAATGTAAAGTTTTTCCTCTTTTACTCTAGGGTCAACTTAAGGGAGAATGTTGATTAAGTAAAAATAGGTTATGAAACTATTTCACACAAGTTTGAAATTAAAGAAGAGAGCTTTGGGTTATTTGGGGATAATAGATGCTTGGATAAGTATATTTTAAAGTTATTTGAATAATTTAATATCTATATAAAGCATTTCCATTCATATTTGACTAATTTATTATCTATGTTATTTAAGGCATAAGGATTCATTTTCTGTTTTATTTTAAGGGAAGCATTTGCAAGTTTGCGGTTTGCTCACATATTTATACATCCTTTATAATAAACCCAACCTATTTACATTAGTTCCTTTATTTTTAACTAAAATCTAGAACCGCTCCTGACTTTTTGAGGGGGTCGAAATCAATGTGCCTGGCCGTCGCCTGTGGATCCTGATTCTGTTTCAGCTTTAATAACAAAAAGCGGAGCTGCTGCTGAGCAAACAGAATGTCATCGCCAAATGAGATCAGGCTGCGAGCATGGGTACTGGAAAACGAAGGACAGGGCACACTGGGTGCCAGTGTGGGAGTTAGTGGGCGAGGATGCGGATGCACCGATGCAGCGATGCAACGACGTGACCGCTGCACATGCAAGTGGGTTGCCGCCATGTGGCAACTGTGTCAGTGTCATTGCGATTCGGCTGCATGCGCCTCGTGCATTGTTTGCCATGTCAAACATTGTCATTTATCCAAAGTCTACGACCTGGGGGCCCAGGGAATCTGTTCCAGTTCCCAAGTCCCATAGTCCAAGCTTTGCATATTGCAATTAAGTTTTTTTGGTCCTGAAAATTTCTCACATTGAAAGGACTTTGCAGGGACGACGCCTGATGCCGAGCATATGCCGCTCGATGCTCGCTTGCTTGTTCGCTCAATTAAAACTTTTTCAGAGCAATGTTGTGGCAATTTGGTCATTTTTAATTTTCCTGTCTTGCAATAACGTCGAAGGCACCTTCACCGCAAATTGGGCTTTTCGCCTGAACAAGAGATGTTATTAAATATTTCGAAAGTTTCAAATAAAATAACAGAAAAACAAGAAACGAAGCTATAAACATACATATGTATACCGCTGCAGATTAAAATTCAATCACTAGGAATTAATTAAATATACATTATACATATTTATATTTAAAAAC